TTCTTACACAACATTGGTTTTTCGTGACTATAACAAATGCATCTCTTTTTGCTTTTGTTGGACTTAGATTTCTTATTCTTTGAAATAACCCTTTGAAGTAAAGGAAGATTTCTTTCTTTGTTATCGTGTCATTTGCCTTGGATAGAATTATATTTGGCGTCATATTTTCTATTGTGAACTATATATTCTTTTTGTTTAACGTAAGATGATCCTAATGTTGAATTAAATCGCCATCAACTTTTTTGTGCTTCTTCTTTTATACTATTTTCAAGATGGGGTATATTGAAATATTCATTTTAATTTTTACTTCCTATACATTGTAACTCATATACTTGATTTAGTACGAGCTTATTCCCCGAAAATTTACTGTCCAAGTACTTTAAAATGAAAATTATTTCATTTCATGATTCCTATGTTTGATATTTGGTCATCAAAGGGTTTTAAAGTTAATAGATCTCATAAAAGACATTATCGTTTTACTTGAACGTTATTATGAAGGAAAAAGTTTATATAAGGATGCAACTTTATAATGTAGAACTACGGATGCACCTCAAAAATCCATCGGAAAAAGTAGTTTTGATGTTGAAAAACCCTTCGATTGAACATCTTGACATCGAGATGTATGACCATAAAAAATAAAAGGATCCAAGTCTCAGATATAATGCATTTTACACCATATTATCTACACTGTCTATTTTCAAGATTTTCACTATTTTTTAAATTTGAAATTTTATAATTAGATATAAAAATAGATTTTGAGATAATCTTAAGAACATTTTACATCAAAATTATATACCATGATAAAATTTGAAAGTGCACCTTACCTCTACAGCTACGGATGCATCTGTATGCCAACTGCACCCTATTTTGAATGGGGGCTTAAACATGGTTCGCAACTTTCTGATTAAATTAATTTTTTTTAAAAAAATCTCCATTTTTAAATCCATTAAAAACTCCTTATTTTCCAAAAATTCACCTTTTTCTTTTCAAGGAAACAATATAATGGCGCATTTTATCTTTTCTCAAAAAGAATTTTTCAAAAAAACAAAACTCCTTTCATACAACTTTATTTTTTTCTTCATTGATTTGATATCTTTGAAAATTTGTTTTTGAGATCTTCATATTAAAATTTGGATTGTTGATATAGTAAAAAATTCCTTTAAAAATTTTGTCAATATATTCCCTTAAAAAATTATACTAAAACAAAAAAATACACTACCAACGTATTCTAGAGTATATAATCTCCCAAAACGACTATATATATCAAAATAATCGGTAGAGTTGAAAAATAACCGATGACAAATCTTTTTTTTCTCTAAACCAAGAGAACCACTGCAACGAGGTTTGAGTTTGTGTACACATTCTTCAGTACAAATAAGTCAATTTTTACTTGCTCTCTATATAAATAAGTTTGATTAATTCCAGTATTTTTAAATTTTTATTTAATTGATGTGCAAGAAAACATTTTAGATTGACTATTGATTCACATTTAATGGTTTTTATGTTTTTGTTGATCGCAATCCAATACTAAGGGTTCCTAACGAAAATCATATACCTTGGGTTACAATTTTTTATTTGTTAATGTAGTATTACCGAGCCCTATGGAGAGGTCTTTGACTCTATTCTCACCAAAAGGTAGAGGCCAAAATCCCATTGACATGCCACTTCATTTTTAGAATGGGGTTGGGGTAGTGGTGGTAGCACTACTTGTGCCCCAGCTGAGGTCTAGGCTTCTATTATCACCTAACGCATTAAAATACCATTATCAATTTTTAAAAACAGGTAGGGACTTGTCATCACTACTGAATCACTGGAAAAAAAAAAAAAAAGGTATTGTTGTTATTATTTCCTTGTACAATCCCCATAAAATTATTGTGTGTTTTGTGTCATAATGGGGGAGGAAGAGTCGTTGTTGTATTAAAGCATTCAACTGCAAAATTTGCCAAGCAAGATCCTAAAAATGATATTAAGAAAAGAAATATCATCATTATTCAATAACTAATGTATCTTCAGGACATATCATCATTATTCAATAACTAATGCATCTTTATAATTTTTGTAAACTATAATCATATCGCATGTCATCTTTGCATATCCGATTTTTTCACGAATATTCAACTTAATCTTTGGGGACCCATTCCTGCCCCGATTTTTATTCTCCAACTTCTCTAACCAAAACATAATTATTATTGGTACTTTGGTTAATCAATATATTATTATGAACAAGTATACAATAGGACTGTTTACTTTTAATATAAGGGGATCACAATCACTCTTATATGTTAGATTTGTTTACTTTTAATATAAGGGGATCACAATCACTCTTATATGTTAGATTTCAAATCTATTGATAGTAAGTGTGTCATTGATTAGACTCAAAATATAAAAAGAATTGAACTTTGCACATAAATTGGATTTTACACATACCCCAAGCCATCTAATTTTACATCTAATAGCTAGAAACAATTTTGACCTCCTTGAACTATAGGCTTGAATGGGTACATATTTTCTAGAACTGATGGTTTAGACAAGGGCAATGGAGGCAGAACCTGTAAATGCACCAAATGAAATATTCGAAAAATGAGATTGAACTAAAGACGATGGTATTCAAACAAATCGACCTCTTCCTCCCCCCATTTGCTTGCGCATGGAATAGAATGCACCAAATGAAATTGTAAAAACATGACCTGAATTAAAGATGGTGACAAACAAGTCCATCTTCCCACCACCATGGAGAGAGATGCATGTTTTGTTAGGGCCTGGATACGATTGAACTACTATTTTGATGCTATGCAAGTGACATAAACGCCAATAAAAAAAACCAAGGCACCCTTGTACTCATACTGTGCTCATGGTGTTTCCCATGGGGTGAGGTGAGAGAGAGAGGAGTACATCCTGGGGATACTATATTTCCTTACCACCTCCTAGAAGGCAAGAATATTGGGAATATCAAAGCTCCTTGTCATGTTTGATAACGGACAAAATAGGAGTTTTCTCAATTACCACATTATTATTATTATTCTATTTGGGAATGGGAAAAATGTGGAAATGTGGAGCCTTGTATTTTTTTTTTGTATTTTCATGCTTTTCCCTATTTTTGAAAAAACCTGTGACGCACCTCACAGGGGTGCTGCCGATTTTTCAGGAAAATGGGGAAACACAAAACCTCCCTTGTCCCTCTTTTTTTTTTCTAACCTTGGTATCTCTCCTCTCTCAATCTATCTTTGCCAAAGCTCTAATTCGAGCTCTACTTCTACCTTTTTATCAGGCTTCCAATTTCTCAGAGATTCTTCAGGTAAACAGATTTCTCAACCCTTAATAACACCAAATGTCCCTCTCTCAATGTCATTTTTCACCCTAAATAACTTCACTCCTTGTAAAGTTGACACATAAACTTAGTTACATAGTGGTCAGTAATAAAATGAAAATGTTTTAATAGTGTTGCAGTTAACATTATAAAAATAAGTAAAGCGTCATCTCAAAACTCAGAGAATATTTGAATTCTGGCTTCGGAAAAAATTCTTGAAAATAGATTTTAGAGCCATCATTGAGATTTCCACGACCTATATTGGTTTTAATATAGATCAAGATCCGATTTTCTACAAAATTTTATTTTTATTTTTGTTGATTTTATTTTTAGAGATGTAGGTAGATTTTTTGGACTAATTTTTAGGAATTATATCTATTTTAAGAATTAGGGTTACATTTTTTTTTTTGGAAAAACTTTTTTTTGTTTTTTTTGTTGTGGTATCTTTTACTTTATATTTTTATTCTTATTAGGGTTAATTGTTAAAAATATGATTAGTCTAAGATTTTTTGGGTTAGTTTGATATGTCTATTTTTTTTAAGTGAGTTTATCTTCTTGGATCGAGTCCATTTACGTTTCGAGAAAGGTTTATATACTTCCCCTACATCATGGAAGATATATGTTTCCCCTCCCATCTAGCCATTCAATTATGATCAAGTGAGCCACCCGACGTTTGATTTAGATCTGACATCTCAAAGTGTTTTATTTTTAGTTTTTTTTTATGCATATATAGTATGAATATGAAATTTGGTACGTGCCATCTTCTCATTGGGACGCATCTAAAAAAAAATATTAAAAATAATTTTTTGATAAATTTAATGACCAAAATATCCTTTTAGACTTTCAAGTGCATTTTGTTTATTTTATTTTATTGAAATATTTGTTTTATATTTTTTACAAGTGCGAGTTTAAAAGAGGATTCGACGCTCAAAATTTGGTGTCAATATATTTTACATAAATAAATTAAAAACAAAATAATGTAGAGACATGACATTATTATTGAATCCATCTTAACCATCCATTCAGAATGGATGTAGTAGGGCAAGCATAGAAAGCTTGCCCATATGTTTTTTGGCAAGACAGTCCTTAGTTGGAAGAAGTCTAAGTATAGGTTGATAAGTTGTTATTTTTCTTTAGAGTCGATTTTGACAGATCTTTAGATCATGTTTTAGAGGTTTGCGTATTAAATTAATTTAAGGTGGGTAGTAGTTAGGTTTGGAGTCCATTCTAGCAAATCTTGAGCTCGATGACGTTCTGGAGGTTTGCTTCCAAAGATTAAGGTACGTAGTGGACACTTTTTAGGAAAAGGATGAGTCACATTCCTTCTTTTTGCTGATATTCTGTTTTATTTTTCCTTTATTTATTTATTTTTTCCTTCTATTTTTCACTCAGGTAATTTTCAAATGTGTTTATTCAAATAAAATGTGGAAAAAAAGGTTCACACTTTTTTCCAAGTCAATAAATTAAATTCCCCTTCCGACTTTCGACTCTTGCAAGGAAAGCACTGCCTCTTCGTCACCCCGTAGCGGCGACAATATTTTCTAGCATCTTGAAAGCAACACGTACACAATGTACGGCATTTTCTCATCTACGGACAATGTTATTCCACGTGTAAAAATCTGAACCGTCACGATGTTGAGTTAAATCAAGATCGGTAGAACATCCCTCCTGACACCGACCCGGAGAAAGGAAATAATCCGAGATTTCCTCGAGCCGAAAAGTCGCTCCCGAATTTCACCCGCGAAATTTCCCGGCCAAATTTCCGATTTTTTCCGGCGAATGTTCGGGGAAGCTACGAGACACAGAGAAAGAAGGGGTGAAAGCGCCATCTCTCTTCCTGAGTTATTCCCTGATCGTTTTCATTAGAATCTCATGCGAACCCGCTTTGTCTTTTAGGCTTGAGCCGCTTCCGTCCCCCCTCTCTCTCTACTATATTTATCCCATGATCTTTTCGCATCTTTCTCATTCATTTTTTCAAATCTTTACGCATCTTACTCATTCACTATGTTTCTCTCTCCTTTAATTATACCTTAATTTCTTCAATCCCTTTCTATTCAGTACACTCCATCTCTTCTGCTTCTGCAACTCCTCTTGAGCAGCTATGGCTATGAGCATCAATGGCTTCTCCCCGCCTCTGTATTCTTCTTCTTTTTTTAGAGAAATCAACAGAGCTCCCATGCAATTTTCACCTGATCGACCTGAATTTTTGTCAGGTTACTCCATTTCAGTGGTATTTGGATTATTTTCAGCGATTACAAACTGTAAATCGCGTTCTGAAACTTTTGTAGTTGGTTTCAGGCCAGATTTTTTCTTCAAAGCGTCAGGTCCTGAGGAGATGCAGTACTATCTCTGAATCGCCTTTGCTAGGTACAATGAAAACCTTAGAAATGAACTTCATCAATTTCAGCAATGGCAATGCTATCTTTCTCAAAGGAATACATCACAGAGACATTCGTTCTATGCCCTTTTCCTTTGCATCATGGCTCCTATTTTTTTTTATTGATTTTTTGGTTAAGCATTTCCGACGACTGAATTGATCGGAAACAATTTCAATTGCGAGTTTTCCGATTACCTCCACTGTTGAATGTTGCAGAGCTTGGAGACGATGTACAGCGAAACCTGTCTCTTTTAAAACCAAGAGAGAAAAAGGGATCATCACCAGAAAGAGAAGATAACAATGTGATCCTACAGGTTTGTTGTCAAAATCACCATAATGTTTCCCGTTCTTGAGACAAATCCCTACATTTTATAAAATAATAAACCAGAACCATAAGAAATGCGAGAAGGCTTAAAAGCAGGGGATGATCAACGGTCCATATGCTCCAGATCGTCACGCGGGTGTGCAATGAAGACCGTCGATCTAGGCACGAAAACCCTAGAAAAGTTGCCAGAAAAGAGATGACAAGCGTGCATGATGCAATGAGAGCTCTGTTCTTTCTTTCCCTCCTGTTTATTATTATTATATTTTTTTCTGGTGAATGAGATATTCGAAATTGAATGTATCAGAAACAGGTGGAGAGAGTGAAAGAGAGGCTTTCGGGTGTCGGAAACGGGGAGATAAGCGTGTCGGCTTACGACACGGCGTGGGTAGCACTAGTTCCGGACATGAGTACCAGCGGGTGGCCTCAGTTCCCGTCCAGCTTGCGTTGGATTGCCAAGAATCAGTTATCGGACGGTTCATGGGGTGACTCACGAATCTTCTCGGCTCATGACCGCATAATCAACACTCTGGCCTGTGTCATCGCATTAAAAACATGGAACATTTGCCCCGAAAAAACAGAGCAAGGTATATTTACAATTATATTTTTGAATTTGTGGGGTGATTTTTAATGGATTGTAATTCTCTTTATCGAAGTACTGATTGGAGTCTTTGACAATTTAGCATTATGCAGGGATTCCAAGTCCCAGAACTCGTATATAGAAATGGGTCCTCTCTTAAAAAATTCATTTTTGAGATGGATTTTAGACTTAATTTTTAATGAATATATCTCTAACATGGCGATCATAAATATATAAAAAATTGAATTTTAAAATTTAAAATAATAATTTTATAAAAAACATTTAGATTATTGATTTTAACTTTTTTTTCGAAAGGACAATCTTTAAGGTGGTTGTTTTATGGGTTGGGGACGCAAATATAAGAATGAGTCCCCCAGTTTTTTTTTTAACATTTCATCCATTTACAACTATTCAATTAATGATAATGTATCTTTTGATAGTTATTCTTAACATAAATAAAAAAAGAATAAATAGAATCTTAAATAGTTCTTCTCTCTTAGTTATTTAGATAATGCTTACACAGGAAGGTTGTTTCTTGTCGATAATATGTGGAGACTGGAAGGCGAAAAGGCGGAGCACATGCCCATAGGATTTGAGGTGGCGTTCCCTTCTCTCGTGTCCACCGCTGCCGCCATGGGCCTCGACCTACCCTATCACTCTGCTTTCCTCAAGAAAGTCCATGAAATGAGGCAATTCAAGCTCCAAAGGTATTACTCTCCCTCCTACATGTTCTAGCTTCTATTCTCTCTCTTCTAACTTCTATTCTCTCTTCTTTCTCCCTCTGCTGATCATACTTTTTTCTTCCTCTCTCTCTACCCATCGGACGGTAAAAAGCTCCGGTATCCCGCGCAAAAGCGTGGGTTTGCCTTTCTCTCTCCAACCCGTCGTCAGTGGGTACCACTTGTGTAGGAAAATTGTATGCCCGTTTCATATTTCTCTCGCAAATTATCCGACATTTATTCTTATCTTCTGAAATTTTATATGAACTCTCTGACAACACTTATGATTATTTGCACATGAGAAACGATAGCAGCAGTCCAAAACTTGCCTTTTGCATTGGCTTCCACCTGGCCATCACGGGGTAAGAGAGGAGCATAACGATAAAGTTAAAGAGCTTTTTGTTAAATTTTCAATGAGGGCGACCCGGGATAGTATACTGTGAGGCTTTTTTTTTTTTTTAAATGTTTTTGAGGGTGTCCCAATTACTCTTACCCATCATATGCAAAATGTAGTTGCTTGGGTGTGTCACAGAGTTTGAGATTTTTTTAAAAAACTTTGGTCTAGTCAATGACATTGCATATAACTATCCGATTTGAAATCTAAAGGCCAAAATGATTGTAACATCTTTGTGCTAAAAATAAAAGGTGTCATTTGTGTAGAGCCTAGGCTCTAAACGATCAAATTAGAGTCTACCTTTAAGTAGTGTTGAGAAACGTAGCTTTATTATTGGAAATATTTTTTATAGCCTTAAAATATATTTTTATCTTTATTTATAAAGTTTAAAGCTTAAAAAATAGTGTAGATCAAGAGATCTATAAAAAATTTGAAAATTGACGGCCCAAAAATGAGTTACAAAATACACTATTTGCACTATTTTCAAAAGCCGAAATCCATTTTTTTCTTATAACCATGATCTTGACGTCGAAATTATCAATTTGAAGATATTTGGGCATCAAAACAGGTTCTTCTAGTGAAATGTTTTAGGTAGGCTCTGATTTGATTGTTTAGAGTCTTAGCTGTATATAAACTTTTCTCAAAAGTTTGCGCCTATTAACTTTTAGTACAATAAGATCACAATCATTCTTATCTTTTAAATTTCAATATCGGGTGGTTGTTATTTAAAGTTAAAAAAAAAAAAGATTATCAAACTCTAGGACACACCTCTAACTAGGGGTGGCAACGGATCGAGTATGGGTCAGATCCGGTTAGACCCTGACCCATACCCGAATAGATTCAAGTCTAGGTTTTGGACCCGGATCCAACCCGTCTGGTCCAAAAATTTGACCTATACCTGTACTCATTGGGCCTCGGGTCCACCCCATCGGGTCTTGGGTCCATTGTCACCCTCAGTATGAACTTTTTTTTTTTTCTTTTTTTTTACCCCTTTTTTACCATCATGTACGCATATTATTAACAACAATATCACAATCATCCGCTATTAGATTTCAGGCCGTGTGATTTGCCGTTTAATAGCTAAAGATGACTACTAGGTCAAAGTATATATGATTTTTAATACACCCAAATGAATAGGGCTTAAAGTAAAGTATTTTATCTCTAATAGTTTACAGGAATGGATTGGGTATGGGTCAGGTCTAGCTAGACCAAGACCCAGACCCGTAAAGTGTTCGGTCCAAGTTTTGGGCCCGGACCCGACCCACCAGGTCCAAATGCTAGACCCATACCTGACAGGTCCTAGGTCGGGTTCGGGGCCATTGCCACCCCTACCTCTAACCATCAACTTTAACATCCAATGGCTAGGAGTAATTGTGACCTTAGAAGAAAGATAAATGGTCTCGTAATGGACAATCCCAATGTTTTAAAAGAAAAGTGTTAGATCAGTTTGTTTGAGCTTTTCGTGATGAATTTCAAGTGTTTAAACCCCGTTGTTTTTTTTTTTTTTTAATGTTTTAAAGGTTATGTCCATTTGGGTTAGGAGTTGCTCCTAACCCAAATAGACATATCTTTTCGTTAGGTCGCTACAGACCTACGGATATGTCCTCAGTAAGGACATATCTAACCTATAAACTACTTGTATTTGTTTTGGTATGGCTACATGAACTGCGATTTTATCGGTAAGGAGCCCATACGAGGGATCCGAAAGGTCGTAAACTCTTCTACAGGCTTCAGAACTTGCAATTTTTTTTTGGGAAGCTAAAAACCGATTCAAATTTGAATACAATTGAAATAGAAAAAAAAAAAGGGGGAATAGTTAAATTTGGAAATCATTCTGGCTTAGTCTATGTTGTCGAGGTAAATTTGGAAAAGAGTAATTTATGTAAAAAAAAATAAAAAAAGGAAAGGTCAAGTTTGGGTGAACATTATACAAAAGGTCGGTCAACTCGCTCTATTTTATTTTGTTCAAAATTGCCCCTCGGTCTGCGGCCTATGATTGCTTTGGATTTTTTTGTAATCGTTTTCTGAAGTTGGGTTGTGCCCTAAGTTTTAGGGCAATGCCCAGTCAGTCTAAGGATCGGACTGCACATATTCTCACTTAGGATTGAAGAAATGGGTGGTATGTAGATAGCAAACTCACACTCCTTGGACTAAGCAGATCTCAGTTCTATAGGGGTCAGAGGTTCCCATCCTCGGACTACCCATATTCTCATTTGGGAATGAAGAAATAGGTGGTCCGAGGAAAGGAACCTTGAATTGCTCCTTGGATTGTGCAGAGGTCAGCTCTGGAGTGGTTCGAGGTTCCCATCCTCGAACGACCCATGTTCTCATTTGGCCATGAAGAAACGGGTTGTTTGAGGATAAGAATATCTTATCGTTGACTGATTGGGCACTAGTTGAAAAAATTTCAATTATCTAGGTTGTGTCTTATGTTTTAGGACAATTAGCAACGGGTCCGAGGTCCCCATCCTTGGACCACTCAAATTGTGGTCTTACACCAAATTATAGGCATCCGACAATGAAGATCTTGGGCCGCTTCAATCCATTTAGCGATATGAGGTTCCCATCCTCGGACTGTCGACACTGTACGGTTCAACCACATTATAGGTGCTCTGAGGGTGGAGACGTCATTCCCCTTATAGGTGTAATACGACAATCTTGACGGTCTGAAGATAGGGACCTCATATTGCTTATAATGTGATGTAACACCACAATCTGGGTGGTCTGAGGATGGGAACCTTGGACCGGTCGTCAATTGTCCCAAAACATAGGACACGGCCCAAATAATAAAAAATAAAAAAATTAAATCGGTTTGGAGAGACCATCTTGTGATAAAAGGGTATTATGGAAAAATTTTAAAAAACTCTACAGTAAATGACCTTTCTTGTAATTTTTGCCCAAAATTGACCCATTTTGTATTGGGTGTGGTTTCTATGAGATTGCAACCTTAAACAATACAATTAAGGTGCACCTTCAAATTTTATCATAACATGTAATTTTGGTGAAGAAAATTCTTAAGATTATCTCAAAATCTATTTTCATATCTAATTATAAAATTTTAGATTCCAGAAATGGTTAAAATGAAGTAAATCTATTAGAATATGAAAATTTTGAAAATGGACAGTCTAGATAATGTATTGCAAGATGCACTATTTTCAGGACTCAAATTCTTTTTTTTTTTCATATTTATACATCTCGATGTCGAGATGATTAATTAGAGGTTTTTCCTATATCCTTTTCCAATGCATTTTTTAGGTGCATATGTAATTCTACATTTTAATTGCAATCTTATATAAACATTTTCCTTTTGTATTTTATTTATGTATTTTGTGTTAGTACGTAATCTGGTTAAAAGGTTATAGCGGACTTCAATGTACTCACACGTGTGGCCATGTGGGTGTGGCTCCTTTCCTTAATAAGATCACTCCCTGTCTATAACTTGTCTATTAGGGTGGCAAGAGGCCAGGCCCGGGTCGTCCTAGCCCTGGCCCTGCCTTTATGCTTGCAGTGCTGGCCCAGTTGGGTAAAAAATAAATAAATAAATAAATAAAAGGCAGTAAGAAAAGATGGTAAGGCCGGGTCAAACCAGGCCATCTGGCTTTAGCCCAGCCCTAAGGCCACAGTTGTGGCCATGCCTTATTTTTTTAGGGCCAGGCCAACCGGACCAGGCAAGGCCAAGCTGCCCGGCCCATTTGTCCAGCTCTATCTTAAGAAGACCAATAGATGGTCCCTTTCCTGTTTTGCAGGATACCAAAGGAAACAATGCATAACACACCAACGACGTTGTTGCATAGTTTGGAAGGAATGGTGGAGTTAGATTGGGACAAACTTCTAAGGCTTCGGTGCAGCAATGGCTCCTTCCTCTTCTCACCTTCAGCAACTGCCTTTGCTCTCATCCAAACCAAAGACCAAAACTGCCTTAGATATCTTCAAAGAGTCGTCAACAAGTTCGATGGTGGAGGTAAAACATGCAGATAGAGATAAACACACAAACATTCAGTTACAAGAAAAAAGATGCACATTGAAAAACAATTACTCATTCATGTGCCCTTTAAATTTGCCTTTCTAGTGCCCAATGCCTATCCGGTAGATTTATTTGAGCGATTATGGTCCATTGATCGTCTGGAGCGCCTAGGGATCACTAGATACTTCGAGTCTGAGATCAGAGACTACCTACACTATGTTTACAGGTGGGTTTATGATTTTTCAATCTAACCAAGATTGAAACTTTATTTATCTTAATTTAATTTGTTTTTTCTTAATATAAAATTTCTGAGTGATGTACTGGGTGCATTGAATTAGAATGAACCGATAGAAATTTTTGTGTTATTTATTAAGCTATTGGAACAAAAAATGGTTGGTTGATCTTAACAGATATTGGACGGAGCAGGGAATATGTTGGGCAAGAAACTCAAACGTTCAGGATGTTGATGATACGGCCATGGCCTTCAGACTCTTACGTTTACATGGCTACGATGTTTCAGCAGGTCATATTAGATTTTGTGCTGTTTTGTTTAAAAAGCTAAATTTTAAAAAGTGAAATAAAAAATCCGTTTCAATGATCCTATCACAAGCAACCGTTGTAGACTATCGAAACCAGTATTACGGGAGTCAATCGAGTCGAGTCAGCCTCATCCTATGGGCAAGTCCGAGTAACCCCAGGTTGTATGTACATGCCGGGTGCATAAAATTTTTTAAAAGATCGTAGAGAGAGTAAAAAAGAATTTTGTATATAATTTGGATGTGTTTAGCAAAGATTGGTCGGTTTTTTTTTTTTTCATAATTATCTTTACATTGTACTTTTTAAAGATTTTTTAGGAAAATTTATGTATAGAACCGAAAACATTTCCTATATTTGGCGATGGGCTGTATTTTGGGTCAATATACAATCAAGTTCCAACCTCCGGGGATTGCCTAAGGCATTTTCCTTTTTTTTGAAATTTTCCAGTTTTGCCCCTCAGGCCGAGGTGAGTCCCATGACACTGGTTGAAACTATAAGTTGCTTTTTAATTAAAAAAAAAGAAAAGAAAAATCCAAATAAATTGTTTTTCAAAAAAAAAAATCACAGAAACATAAATAAAAGGAATATGAGTAAATTTTGGTTTCCAATTATGATGCTGTGCATTATGTTCCGAACAGATGTTTTTCAGTATTTCAAAAAAGGGGAAGAGTTCTTCTGTTTCTTTGGGCAGTCTAACCAGGCTGTTACTGGAATTTACAACCTCAATAGAGCTTCTCAACTGCTATTTCCTGGAGAGACCATTTTGGAGGAAGCCAAAGAATTCTCCTACAAATTCCTTAGGGAAAAGCAAGCATCCAATCAATTGTTAGATAAATGGATTATTACCAAGGATTTGGTGGGTGAGGTAATCTCTCAGAACAACTTTTTCTTGTCCTTTTCAAACCCAGAGAAAAATACCAAAAATAATAGCAATAAATAAAGTACCCGGTTGTTATGCAGCCAAGCCCGCATATGTAGAAATGCGGGCCTCTTAATAATTATATTTTTGTGATGCATTTTAAGACTTAATTTTTAAAGACATGTAAATCTCCAACATGGAGATCATGAATATGAATAAATAAATAAATTTTAAAAACCATAATTAATAATTATAGTAAGAAGACTTAATTTTTAAGGACATGTAATCTCCAACATGGAGATCATGAATATGAAAAGATAAATAAATTTTAAAAACTAGAACTAATAATTCTAGTAAAAAAACATTTGGATCTTTAGTTTCCATTGTATTTAGATGGAACACCTACTTGCATCCATATTTAAGATGAATGTTTTACACTTTTTGAACCGCATATGTAGAAATGAGGTCCAGTCTGCATGAAAAAAGATTTCTATAAATAAATAAGATAAGAAAAATGTATGTATAAAGCAGCAAGCTTGTACGGTGGAACTAAGGTGCACCTTAAAAGTCTTATAGGAAGAGTGTTCCAAAGTTTAAAAATCTTCTAACTGATAATCTTGACCTCGAAATCTATATCTATAAATAAATAAATAAATTAGGTCTTAAAAGTAGTGCCTATTATTATAACAAGTTATCTGGTGCCTATTTTCAAGATTTGTAAGTATTTTTTCATTGTAAAAAAAAATATTGTAAATTTCTTTTCTTTTATTTCCTTTTTTTTTATCTACTCCAGATGTTCCGTTTTTCGACTTTAAATTTATATTAGGATTGAACATTAATTTTAAAGCCATTATAAGGTTTATGATGGCGGAATTTTTCTTCAGGCAAAATTTAGATACGTGCCTTATGTGTATAATATAAGATGGACACCTTATATAAACCTAATAACAACAACAAAAACGATGCATATAAAGTGTATATAACAAAAACAATGCATATAAGATGTATATATATGTAATTTTTTTAATAATAATAAGGACCATAATAATATTTCACCAATTTCAGGTGGAGTACGCTTTAGATTTTCCGTTCTATGCAAGCCAGCCTCGGGTGGAGACCAGATATTACTTGGAACAGTATGGCGGGGAAGACGATGTTTGGATTGGCAAAACATTATACAGGTTACACGTCACTCTTTCTTCGTTTGTTTCTTTTCGTAGAGGACAAAATTTCGCCGACACGTTCGGTCGATCTCATCATTGGGCAATGAAATTTCGTTACGCGAAATCTTGTCGAAATTGGAAGTTTCTTTAGCCGGAATATTTTGCTTTGTCCGATTCATGATCGTGACAGGGAGCACAGTGGCCCGGATTATAGACACATAAGGCCATGACAAACTCTTGACTGTTCGATGCTTGTTTTCATAGGATGCCTTTCGTGAACAACGCCGATTTCCTGGAACTCGCCAGACTCGACTTTAACCGGTGCCAGTTCGTACACCAAACAGAATGGCATGACCTTCAAAGGTGAACTAACCACGTGAATACCACTTAAGATGCTCCGTAAAATATAGGGCTGATGTTCTGTAAAATAAAGGGCTGGCAAAGGACTGCGTGGCTCGGCAAAGTGTGGGCGATGTAATCCGGGTTCAGCTTGATTGGCTGTTATAAGATTCCAAAAAACCTTCAAAACTACCAACTTACCCGATCTAATTATTTCTTGCACTTTTTTTTTTTTTCTAAAATATACTTTTTATGAAAAACCTCCACTTAAATTAAAAAAAATAAAAATACTTCAACTACCCTCTCTTACTTTTTCTTATCCATGTGTCACTCCTCTATCCTACCAAAGTAAAGAGCTCCAACAAAGTGTTGTCGGGCAGTAAGGCTCTGTGTAAAATGTGGTACTTGTGGAAACATATCAATCGGTAGAACCCTTGATAAAAGAAAGAGATGTTGTTTATGAATCACCCATATGTTCCTCAGAATTATACGTATCCGTGGGTTTAATTTGAAAATAGGCTCAGTGAAATAGGCATGGACTACTTGCATCTAAACAGAAAGACCCTATCAAGCTTTATTGTTTCCTAGGATTGGCTTTAGGCCTTATACAGCTTAGGTGGAGGGTGAAGAAGGCTCCTTTCAAGCTCGAGCCATCAGTGAGATACCACTTTGTTCCGGCACTTTGTAAAGTGTGGTCCCGCAATTGAAAACCGTCGTCCAGTCGATGTAAATGGCGGTTTGGCAGTTAAAAAGGGTAGTCCGCCCAACGTGAAATCTGTCCAAAATGATTTTTGCATATGAAAGGGCATTGTCGGGTATTTCTGTTTAAAAAATTTGAATTTTTTCCTTAGGAGTACTTGCATAGAAAGTTTTATTTGAGAAAAAACGTCAGAAAAAAGAAGTTAAAGTTGGGGTTAATTGTATAGAAAGAATATTCTTTGATTTTTTTGTTTTTAATTTTTCCATTAAATAATATGGCCCAAGGGCTCGGATGAGACCCGGCCTATTGCCATCCTTACCTAACGTTTTACTAAATCACGGCAAAAATTTTCATTGAGTCTGCGCAGGTGGTACGCCAAGTATAACCTAGGGGACTTGCAAGTGAGTCAAAATTCGGTTTTGGAGCACTACTTCGTGGCGGCCACAGCTGTGTTCGAGGTGGAGAGGAGGCTGGAGCGTCTCGGTTGGGCTCAAAGTGCGGTTTTGATGGACGCTGTTTACTCTTACTTTACTGATAAGAACAGAACGGCTGAAGAGAAAGTAGCATTTGTGGAGGATCTGAGGAGGTATGGAATCATCTCATTTTTACGTGGAGAGAAAATGAAAAGAGCCGAGGGGTGAGTTCCGTGTTTCGTAAGCACGTAGCTTAGGAGATTGAAGGGAGAGAAAGCGCGGGGTTGTTTTTTTCGGAGGCAGTATATACATGTCACCAATTTTAGACCAATGGACTTTAAAATCTTTGTCCAAAGAAAATATATTTCTTATTCTTGAAAATCTAGTTTCACTTTTAATAGATTTTACAAAAAAAATATCGATTTGTGCGTAGGGTTTTTATTAATTTTTTTTGAAAAATGTGGAAAAAAAGAAGTATTCATTGCCAAAATATAAATAAGTATTTATGGCCAAAATATTTTATAATTTTTTTTTAAAAGCATAAAAAAAAAACATTAAAAAACACATTACAAACAAATCTGGATTTGGGAGAGAGCATTCGGAAGTTTGAAAATCTAAGGTTTGGTGATGGGAAAAATTGGTGTGCTCCTGTGAATTTTAGAGAGAGAGAGAGAGAGAGATAGGCGATTCGGCATGTCTTAGAACCAGCCGACCAAAACGACAAGGCTGGTCCGTCTAACATTAATTCTTCTAAACTCGCCAAGATGAAATCATTGAGCCTATGCAGCAAAAGGAATCAATTTTCCTTTGCTCTGTTTTGTTTTGCAGGGGATTGTCGATGAAGACAGAGGAAGGGCTTCAGGGTGTCGTGTCCGAGATCATCGATTTTCTCTCTCTAAGCACTCTTCTCTCGCATGGCCGAGACATCTCTCGCCGCCTCCGATCCGCAGTGAGTCTCTTTTTGTAGCTATCAGAAATGAGCCCACCTCCCTTCCTCTCTCTCTAACCAAACCAGCTCTTTATTTAATACAGCCTATTTAAATTCCAAAAAAAATGACAGAAGGATAAAATAGGCCGGTACCGATTCTACTCCAGCTCTGGGCCACAGTTTGTAGCCCAGGCTTTAGTTATTTGGTGACAAAATAGGTGACTCTAGCTCTCAGGCCACAATCTGTAGCCCAGACCTTAGTTTTGTAGGGACAAGATAGGCCGGCACGGACTCCAGCCCAGCTCTTTTGCCACATGTTGTAGCCCAGACTCTAGTTTTTTTTATTTTGTAAAACCCTGCGGCCGGGGGCATTTGTAGCCCTAACGATTGCTTCCGTTAACAGTGGGAAACATGGCTGCTGAGCCTAAAAGACGAGGGAGGTGCGGGTGTGATGAGCGGCGAGGCCGCGCTTCTGGTGTCAACATGCATCCTGTGTAGTGGCCGTCCGATCCCTGAATCGATGGTCTACGAGCCACGATACACGCGCCTCGCAGGCCTGGCTAATTCCGTCTGTTCCCGCTTACGACATCTGCGCACGTCATTGACAGTAAGTAAAACTTAGCCCTTCTAAAATTCAGTGTACGTCTTGGGAACAGATGAACTCACGTTTCTACTAAGCTATTCAATATTGCCGGTGGCACAAGAAGCATATACGGTGGCGATATCTAAATAAAGACTTAATAATTTAGAGCAGTCCCTTTCATGTATATCATATTCCCTATAAAGAAACGTGGTGCAGACGGGACCACAAAAACTTGGGTTCGGTACTCGGTAAAGATCACGGCGCATGCATAGCAACAGCATTGAGTTACCGCCATTCTATTTCTCCCTTTCCCTCTCTACCTGCCTTATCTTTTCCGCGGAAAAAATGCGGCGCACGCATCCGGCGCGGAAAATAATTATACAGTTAATGGGAGAAAGATAGAGACTGGGAGGGTATGGTAAAGAGATGATGGAGAAAAAAGAAAAAGTAGATTAAAAAAAAAAAAAACGGGTAGAGAGAGCGAGAGTGGATAAAAGAGAGAATAAGAACCGTGTAGAGAGAGAAAGTGAGATGACAGATAGAACGAACAGTGAAAACCGGTATTTTAATTTTATTGATTTTTTTAGTATGATAAATACAAGAAAAAAAAAAGTAGGAGGTATACAACTTTAATAAAAAAAATTTAGAACTTTATGACGTACCTAAGCTATCAGATTTTATATCGGATGGTTGTAAGCAATCGTGATTTTTTTGTATCAAAGGTAAACTATATCATTATATAGAATCTCTAGGTTTACTAAATTTATTTTTTTCAAAAGTTTTTTTTCTATTTACGAAAATTCTTACTATTTAGCCAAAAATACGTAAAAAAGAGCTATAACTCATTAAAAGTTAAATACAAGGTACGTACCCAAATAATTGATAAAATAATTAATATCTAGAGTATATGAATCTCAAATAAAATAATCTATTCTAGATAATAAAAAACTAAATACAACTTGGTCTTTATTACACCAGCACTTAATTTGCTCGAAATCATTATTATTATATTTTTATTTTTTTCCAGAAGATGAGAAGCGGCAGCGGCACGAAATAGACAGGGAAATGAAAGAATTGGTACAAGGCGTGGTCGAGATTTCGGATGCTGTTGATGTTGAAGTCAGACGGACGTTCCTTAGAGTGGTGAAGGGCGCATACTACTATACATTTTGCCCCCCTGCCACCATCAATCTTCATATCCACAAGGTTCTGTTCGAGACAGTTCCCTAACCATGGAGCGCCACAAAGTCAAGACCATTCCTTTCTCAACGAATCTCAATCAAGTGAATATCAAATCTCTCTCTCTCTCTCTCTCTCGTGTATTTATCATCTTTGTCTCGTGTATTTATCATATCTCTCTCTTTCTCGATTACGTAAGTGTTGATATCATCCTCCATTATTATACTGAAAAGTGTTTCCACGTGACATAAGCATTGTACGTTCAATGAATTGCAGGGTCTCATCTTTATAGATGGAGATTTATAGAAATCCTAAAAGAAATAGAGGTCCTAAAAAAATTTAGATAAGCTTAAAAGGAAAAGAAAAATTTATGTACTTTTTGGTTGGCATGACATGAAAATTTCTCCCATGCAATCAAGCCTGGGAATATTTTTATATCAATTAATTGCGAATTGATGTGAAAAAGATGCACTAAAACCACTCGGTACGAAAATATTCTCACATTAAGAGATCATTTTATTTGTGAGAATAATTTTTAAAAAATAATTTCACACGAACCAAAGGTGAGAGAGTTTTAGAGGAGAACGAGCTGAGACCTATAGCATCCTCGAATACGTTTGGTTGCAACTTACTCCACATTCAAATCGGTGATTTAGATTGGGAATTGCCAAGATTTAAATTACTGAATTAAAGAGAGTTGCGGTTAGCATATGGCTTAGGTTATGCGGTAAAAGGTTTCGTCGTGAAATGCATTTGGTGATTAGAAATCTCTATTATTGCTTTAATGAAAAACCAATAGGGGCCTTCTCTCCTACTGACTTACCCAAAAAGATCTCTATTATTATTTAGAAATCTATTTTGGCTTTTCAATATGAAATTTAAAACTAAAAAAATGATACATATCTGAAAGAGCTATAAACAACTAAAAATTGAACAATCCAAATAATGTGCCACATGACAGTTTTTTTGGTGCTTGAAATATGCTTTTGTTGGAGAAGATATAAACAGAGTACGGAAAAGTAAATGAGAAAGAAAAATAGCTTCGAAAATTTAAAAAAAAAAAACGCAAATAAATAAATGTGGTTCAACATTTACATACATCCATAGGGGCAAAAAAAATCTCGTCTTCTAACTACAAGATCGTACAAGTATGAAAAATACAAAGTTTATAAGTTCTCGTCTCCACCCAAAAACAAGTGTTTTTTCTCTCTCTAGAACACACGCCAAAAAGATTACAAGAACTTACCCTCTCTCTCTATTTTTTCTGCATGCACTTTCTCTCTCTACTTCATTTACAAAGAAAAGAGCCAAGAGAAATACTCACGTGAGGCCCATCTCAAAAACTTAACTTTCCTACTTTCTAGGAGGTTTCTTTTTCCTATAGGAATCATGTGATACTTTTCCAATACCAAGGGATTACTAACTAATCGCCTCAAAAAAAAAGGAATATTTATCCCATATATAGGAGATCTATTAGGACCATAAAAGGCTACATTACTTCCTTAAAACATGGACTTCTTAATTCTTATACAGTAGGAAATATAATTAGTGATCAATTTGAGGGTTTTTCCGCTGTTGCAACTGCATTTTTTTGTTTGGTTTTGGATTGTTGCTTCAATTTTTAATTAAAACCTAGGTCCTATGCATGGGTGTTCAAACTTTTCCATTTAACAATGAGGTGATTTATGGACAAACAAATTAATGAGGCGATTTAAAATGTGGTAAACAAATTATGTCAATTTCCATTGCATATGATAAGCACAAAGTTACAGTCACTCTTAGCTACGAGACTTCAAATCCAATAGCTAGGGATGTATCACAAAGTTCAAAAAAATTTTATTTGAAATTTAAGCTTAGTCTATCGCAACTTGTGCCAAATGCAATAGCCCAAAGTGATTGTGAACTCCTAATACCAAGAGTAATTATACATGTTGTCTTTTTATACAAAATATTATTCATTATTCCCAGATGAAAAATTAATAATGCAGCTGTCAATAACTAAGGCACCGTTGGGAATTTCAGGGCACCTAAACCATTTATGCAAATACATGGCAGTGTTGTTAAGTACGCTCCGCTTTGGCTGAAGCTTTCGGTTTCTCCCTATGTCCTGAAGAATAGACAAGAAAGAACAGTAATTCGGCCTGATTCGGTCGCTTCAGCCAGATTCGAGTTGATTTGGCAGAAAAATGCAACTTCAAATGAAGAGAATAGGGCAAACAATCTAATTCTATGATGTTCCAAGGATATGAAAAAAAAATGATTAGCATTAAAATAATATGATTTCAGACATTTAATTTTTGGAAATTAAAAGGTAATATTTTTTTTTACCCATGTTTGCAATTTTTCATTTGATGCAATTTTGACCCTTGTATTTGTAATTTCCATTTGTGCATGGCAAAAACAGAAAATAATGGATGTTCACAGATTTATCATTTCATATTTATTTGCAATGCAAAATGACGAATGTCGATGCTATAACTTAACCCTTTATAATTAGTTTTAGTAACAAATTTATTTATGGACCCGGTTTCTATGCGGCTTCCGCATATATAGAAATGTGGACTTATTAATAAATCCATTTTTGAGAAGGATTTTTTGACTTAATTTTTAAAGACATGTAATCTCTAATATGGAGATCATGAATTAAGTAAGTGTTCAAAGCTAAAAATAATAATTCTCGTTAAAAAACATGTGGACCTTTAATTGCCATTGTTTTTAGATGGAGCACCTAGTTGCTTCAATATTTAAAATGGATGCTTTACAATTTTTGGACCGCATAATTATTTATTGTTAAACTCATGGTAATAGGTCCTGCGTTTCGTAGACAATTTGTTGTGGATGAGATGATGGGTGAAAGTTTGTTGGACATAAATTCATGGATGAGAAGTGAAGGGATGGATAAGTTTGACAGGTAAGCACGGTAAAAAAAGTCCACAAAAGTGAGCCCCATCGGCCACGCAACCTTCCATAATAGCATGAAGGTGGGGCTTTCTTTCTGTACCAAATCAACTCAACATGTTCCCCTTTAGTTTTCCGAAAGATTTTTTTTTGTTTTTTTGTGTAATTCAGATGGGGGAAGATAGGACCCACTTGTTTTTTCATATAGATTTGGAAGTTTGATTTTTTTGTAGGTATCAGTGGGTGGTGTCAGCATGATTAAAAACCTCAATGTGATAACTAAGTTCCGAGGTGTTAAAAGATACACATCTGGTGACCAAAATTCTTATGAGGGGCTTCAAATGTTATTTTACCCCTAATTGTGTAATTTAGAGCTCAAAAAATTGTGCAGACCATAGTAAGCCTATAAACACTTAAAATTTTGAAAAATGAATGGTCTAGATAATGTTACAAGATGCATAGTTTTTAGTTAGAATTTTTTTTTATGTTCATACATTTTGAAGTCAAGACGATCGATTGTAAAGCATTTCAACATCGGAACAACCTTTTTGGATAGATTTCTTGAGATGCACCTTATTTTTATAATATAAAGTTGACACTTTATATAAACTGTCAGGAGTAAGCAAAATATCTTTGATTCTCTTATGGTAATTTTTAGAAAAAAAAAAAAGAAAAAATTCATTCAGATAGCATTTGAAAACCAAGAAAGTCGGGAAAAGTCCCTGAGTTTCCCAGTAATTGCGGCTTTCCCGGTTTGAATCGAGGGATAGAAACAATAAAGGGAAGATAGACTTTCGACTCTCCCTAAGTTCACAAGGAAAGCTGCAACCCAATAGCCCTAGGATGTCCCTTTTCTGTTGAAAAATGGTGGATTAAACAAGGTTGTAATGTGAAGGTTTTAAATAACTGTGAGAAGAGGACCTTCGTTTTCAATCACGCTAAAAGCAATATCTCATGATTATATCTAGCCCCTTAGTGAAATATATCTATGGGTAAAAGGTTGAACCAGGAAAATTAGTCCTCAAAATATCTAAAAACTAAAGGTCAAAATAATACTCCCACTGAATGATGAATTAAAGTTCAGATTTCAAAGCACCATAGTTGTCTCAAATATAAAAAAAAGCAAGTAAGCACAAATAGGGAAATTTAAAGCCTGTTTGGATAAGGAGGAAATTAAGAATATTAGATATTTGAAATCCAAGGAAATCTATAGATTTTCAACATCGAGGATTTTTGTCATGGATTTCTAAAATCTCTTGTTTGGATAAACTATACAAAATTGATGGATTCCTTGCAATCACTTCTATGTCCATTGTTTGATAACAAAACTTGATACAATTTCTCTCTTTAAAACTTTAATATACTTTCTCTCTCTAAAATTCAAAATTTAGGATAGTGTATCCGTAAAAATTTTAAGATAATTTCTCACTTTAAAAGTTGATATGGTTTGTCTCTCTAAATTTTAATATATTTCCTATCCAAAATTTAAAATTTAAAATTTTTCATCTAAAAATTTTGCGATAATTTCTCTTTCTAAAAATTTTAGGTGTTTTACTCTCTAAAATTTAATATAGTTTCTCTTCCTAAAATTTTAAGATATTCTCCCTAAAAAACTTAAAACTTGAGATAATTCTCCTCTTCAATAATTTTGATATAGTGTCTCTCTCTAAACATTTTTAAGTAAGTTTCTCTCTCTAAAATATGATATAGTTTTTCTCTTAAGTTTTAAGATACTTTCTCTTTCTAAAAACTAAAATTTGAGATAATTTCTGTCTAAAAATTTTACGATAGTTTCTTTTTCTAAAACATTTATGTATTTTATCTCTCTAAAATTTGATATAGTTATTTTTTAAAATTTTAAGATGCTTTCTCTCTCTAAAACTTCATGTTTGAGATAGTTTCTCTATCTTAAATTTGAAATAATTTCTCTTTAAAATTTGATATAGTGTCTTTCTAAACTTTGATATACTCCCTCTCTAAAGTTTAAAATTTGATATACTTTCTCTCTCTATAACTTAAAATTTCAGACAGTTTCTCTCTCTAAAATTTTTTGAGATAGTTTCTCTCTTTAAATTTTTTTTGTACTTTCTCTATTTAAAATTTGATGTAATTTATCTCTCGAAAATTTTAATATAATTTTTCTATCTAAAATATAACTTTTG